TGTCCTGAGCCTTTCTTCCTGTGAGCGGATGGACTGGTATGCGGACTACGAGCTGCCACTTGAGCGGCCCAACTGACGGGCCTAGTGGAAACTGGGCCTTCTGCTCGCGACCTTGTACCTGCCAGACGCTGCTCACGTGCATTCCTACTTGCTGCCGTGTCACGAGCAAAGCGAGGAGTGTGGTCCATCTTGGGAGGGCTTCGCGGCGTCTGAGGCATAGGTGTTTGCATTCGATCAGGCATCGGCAGACGTGAATTGCTAGGCTGAGTGCGCAGCGACTTGTTACTTGCGACGTTGCGCGGCACCTTTTCAAACTGCTTCTCTTTGGAAGCCGAGGTAGGTAAGTCGTCGAACAGGTCGAGCTCATGACCGTCACCAAAGTTGCGCTTGCGCTGAGGCTGTGTCAGCTTCTTTGGAGCTGGATGACGTGCAAGGGCAGACGGGGCCATGTCACGTCTCACAGAAGCACGACTCGGTGTCTCATTGTTGCCGCCGCCAGACAAGCGTGAGTAGGTTCGCATGGAGGGAGACTGTGGTCGGCGAGGGTCCGAGTCGCGACGGAGGTGGGACTGCGAAGTGCTCTTTGACATGACGTGGTGGGATTGAGACGACGTTCCGCCGGCAGGAAGAAATGGCATTCGTGGTTGCTGACTCTGGTTGAGGTTGCGGAGGACAGGAGCAGATCGCTTTGCGCGGAGCAGCTGGGCACTGGTAGTCGTGGGCATGGTACGAGTGGAATTGTTCGACGTGGACGCTCCACTTTCATAGACAGGGGTAAGTCTGGTACGGCTGGCGATGGACGGCAGGGGCCTGGGTATCCGTGAGGTAGTGGGCCTGTCGGTGAAGGTGATGGTAGTTGCGGGACGAGCAGCGTGTGGGGCGGTCGTCTTGGTAGCCGGCTTCTTTACGACAATGTTTTTGTTCAGGGTTAGCTTCTGTCGGTCCAGGATGTCGCCATTGCCAAAGTCGAAAGCGTCCTCAAAGTCTTCCTCTTCGACTGCGGGTTTCTTGGGTGATGGTGCTTTGGGGCTGTGGGCCTTGGGGCTATAGGCCTTGGGACTGCTGAAGGGCGAAGGGGACAATGGTGCAGCGATGGGTGATTGGGGCGGCTCCTGCATGGGGGCCGAGGTGGGTGACATGGGCGCAGTGGGCTGTTCGCGCAATGGCAGAGGCGGAAGGAGCGAGGCTTCATGTGCTGGTGGTTGCTCGGCCTTCTTGAGCTTTTCCAGACGCGCACCAAAGTCCATGACCTCTGTGGGGAGCACGAGACCGCCCAGGTCGTCTTCTTCGCTCTCCATGGTCATGATGCTGCCTAGGCTAGGACTCATGGCGGATATGGAAGAGCTGCGTGCACCGCGAGTTCCCTGTCGCGTACCTGCGAAGCGGATGCCCAGCGAGCCCTCGCCCCAGTCGAAATCATCGTCCTGCTCTTCAACGGGCGTACGTGGCTTGGGCGTCTTGAGCTTCAAGCCCTCGGACGCGTTGCTGGGAAGCTCCAAATCATTCCCCCAGTCGTCGTCCACCTCGATCTTCTTGGTCGACTTCTTCTTGCCCAGCCTCTTGATGGAGCCCCCTAGGAGTGCCGACGATGGCACGCTCGTGGGTATCGGAATGCCGGCCTGTTTCGCGGCCGTCTTGATGGCGGAAGTGTTGGTTGCTTGGTCGTCTGGGGTGATGAGAAACTGCCAGTCGTCCTGTGATTCTGTTTCGGAGCGCACGCTCATGCGTGAGGATAGCGAGTGTACTGTTGAGTTCTTGAAGAGGAGGCCGTCGGAGCGGTCGTCGAAGTCGCCGTCGTCCCATGTTTCCATCTGTGTGCTCTGCGAAGTGATGAAGGCGATGCGCGCCGCAAAGGAGCGGTTGTTGGCCGCCATGCTCTGTGGAGCGCGATTATGGCAGGCACGCGGTGTGAGGTGGGTGTGTGCAGGATCTTCGCGAGAGGTACTGAGGTGGTTGGGCTGTGGGCCGGCGAGGGTCGCTCTTGCACCGCTTGCAGGTTCCTGCAGGGCTACGCGAGCTGGAAGGCGGTAAGTCGACAAAGGAAGGCCCGCAAAGTGGCCCGCACGCTACGACACGCGTGTCGATAAGAACAACAGACTCCACACCCCTGCAGCACGGGAGACAATGACGGCGGTGATGTGTCCTACGTGACGGGAGGGTATATGCAGGAACAGATTGTGCAATTCTGCCCCCCACATAATAGCTGCGGTCGTTGCCTATATAGTCCCAAACATGGTGCTGTCCATGTTTGTTTCTGCGCCTGCCATGTGGCTATTCTGAGGGACTGGTGCTGATCGGCTGCGAATCGCGTCCCAGGCGGATGCCTGAACAACAAACACTAAACCTTCATTCTGGCGGGTGCTGCCTGCGCCTACCGAGCCTCTACGCGTCCGCCAGCAGGCCTCCACCACGCGACTCTGCAAATATAACCCTCGCGTCCTGTCTCAGGTAGAGGTGGTTCAAGTTACGGTTTCAATAGTTCCCCCTACCACTTGAAACGCCCGGTACCCTTTCCTAGACCAACACCACCAAACCTTCCAACTCGGCACACTTCCGCAGTCCGCGTCGACTAGTGCAGGTACATCCATCAATGTCCGCCCGCAACATCGTGCCAGTCGAGCCTGCCAACGGCGGAGACACTGTCGTCATCGAAGTGCTGCAAGAGGGCAGTCACCCTCTCGATGTGAGATTGGTGGGATGCGAGGGCGAAACCCCATATGTCACCTCGAGTAAGACAGTATCCACAGCACGACTGCGGTTCGCCATCTAACCCAGCTCAGTCAAGCACCGTAATCTCGGAGCACTTAAACACAAATTCAAGGGTAGCGACCATGAGTGGGCCACCATCGTGTCTCATTTTCTGCTCCAGCAACAGCCAGAACTCGGCGAGGCCGCCCTTTTGGACGGCATTCGCATGGTCTACACCCTGAAAAACAAGAGCCTTGAGCTTTCTTTTCGCAAGGACGTTCAAAACATCAAGGTGGACAGCTATTCAAATCCCTTAGGAATTCTGCTCATGTAAGCAGGTCACCCTGGGTGAAATCATTCTACCAGAAGACGATGAGTTTGAGTTCAACCCTTTTGAATGGGCGCAGGTGTCAGCTGTGGCGCACGCTCAAACGTTGAAGCATATGGTCGACTTGGAGGCGCAAGTCGAGAGCAAGCAGCAGACCATTGCCAAACTTAATGCGCAGCTGGATGACTTCATCAAGACCAAACATGAGACCGAGACTGCCATGCTCCAGCAGTTCATGCAGCTCCTTAATGAGAAGAAGCGGAAGATTCGGGACCAAAGCCGTCTCCTAGCAGGCGTCAAGGTTGACAAGCCAACAAGTAAGATATCTATGACCGAGTGTGACGTACACTATATTGACACTGTCTAGCGGCTGCTGTACAGTCTTCGAGAGCGAACGCCAAAACCGCAGACACCAAAACTCGCAGAGCAGGCGCGTCACGAACGTCCAAGCGCAAAGCTCCTGCACAGTCAGCAGAGCCAGATGTAGTACCAGAGTCAGACAGTGACCAGATGGAGATTGACCAAGCCAAGGCCGAAGAGCAGTCCAACGATGAAATGCCGGAGCCCATGACTCCAGAGCAGTCCGACAACGAAACAGATGTGGAGGATGAGCCTGCGCCCTCTGCAACAAAGACATCGTCCCAAACGCTCAGATCGACTTCAGTCGCACAGAGTTCAAAGAGCGAAGCCACCGAGAGCAAGGGTGTGCCACCACCTCGAGCGCTCCCATTCGTAAAGAGAACGGGAATGCCAACGCGAAGTAGAGATGTAACAGCAACCGACGACGACGATGACGAGACGGACGACGAAGAGTTGTAGGTTAGAGGGTGACTACGTTTCAGTGTGTTGTGCACAAGTTTGGTTGAAACCATGTCTACCAAACTTGACCACTACGCCGTCTGGTTCGCTGTGTTTACTTTTCACAGGATCTTGGGATGTACCCGCATCCAGAAACTTTAATGAAATAGAATTATTGTTACGAAGCGTTTGGTTCAGAAATTCAGACTTTCGCTTTATGATTTATCGCCGAAGCGGTGCTTGCTTCTGCCGCAGTGGTAACCTTGGAATGGTGTGAAACAACCCCTTGATCCAAACAACAGTAATACAAACCACCAACAAGATGCGCGACATGAAACCTGTCATGAAAACTGGAACTACTTTCTGGACCCTTTACGGGTTTGTACATGTCCAGGTGGTAACCCGGTTTGCTCATATACGTGGTGCGCTGCACACGCGTGGATGTCGGTTGGCGTTGATGTCATCCATGTCGATCGCTCGGTACAGCAGGGAGGTCCCGAGCAAGCAACGGTAGACAAGAACAGACGCTTGGAATGAACAAGACTCTTGTTCGCGAGTGTCGATTCTACATCATGCAAAGAAGAAAGTTGCCCACGTTGAACATGTCCAAAACAAAGCGATCTGCAAGTGATGTGGTGTGGGTCGGGGCAAAGTACAGCCAATCGTCGATGGCAGAGGCTCCGGCCAGGGCTGAAGCGCGCGGGAGAAGCCTCCCGCCAAGCCATGTCCACCTCGACATGTCGTTCTCCACCACGCTGTTGTCGCAAACACTAGATTGTCGTTATTTGGGATCACGCACGTCGTCGTCGCATTATCACGGGGTTCGTGTGCGAGCCATGTCCAATTCCAGCCGATCCGACCAACGGTAGCATCGCGTACTTTCGGTGAGTGAGAGTGAGTGAGAGAGGGATAGCGCCCGACATCCGCGTGCGCGACCATGTGGATCTATTGTACTGAGGAGATGCGAACAGAAAGCGATTGTCGGCCTCGTATTGTCCACGCGCACTCGACTAGACCCCGACCACCCACCGCGTCCACGGCGTCGTCACAACAAATCCCCGCTCGAGCGCCTCTTCTAATGCTCCTCCATCTCCACACGTCGTTCCACTGCACCTACCGTCGTCGGCCCGCGACACCACAAAGACACGCGACCGACGCAACACCCACTACCTGGAGGTAACACGCAATGTCAGGTCCCGGCCACGCTGAGCCTCTCGTGGAAACGACGCGATCTCTCAAGCGCAAGAACCTCTCAGACGACGACCAAGGCGAGCTCGACGCTCTAGACACTATCTTCAAGCGCATAAAGACGGCGGTTCCGCGAACGCCCTACATTCTCTCGACGCCTTCGGTGAACCCGTACCGGTATTACTCACAACAACAAGCCAATGCTTGGAAGATAGGAAGATTATGGAAGTCGGACGAGGAGCATCTACAGTACAGAACCTACCTGTACCGCGAGCCATGCCAGGACTGCTTCGAGCTGCAGGCGGGAGAGGATGACGAGCCCGAGCCTGAGCCCGCGCGCTCCCAGACCGCAAACGGGCAGCCAGGCAAGAAGAAACCGAACCTCTCAGCCTTCAAGGTCAAGCCAGCGAACGGCCCCAATACTCCCAGTGTCAAGATCAGCTCGCCCAGCCTTGCGACAGATAAGGCATCAAAACAGGCGAATGGGGTTAGCAAGTCTGAGAAGTTGTCTGTGCCCTCCCACAAGGCCGAGTCCAAGTCGCCAAGATTGTGTGTACACCGCTCCACATGTCATCATGTTACTGACAACGAACAGGACTTCTGGCACTTCACGCGACGAGCACCCTGCCAGTAAAGTCAACGGTGATGCCCCTTCCTCGACTCGGCCACGCGCCCCCTCCACACAGAAGAGCGAGACTGCCAGCTCCAAGGGCAAGGTCGAGAAATCGGATCCGTCCAGCTCAACACCACATGGCCTCCCCCCACTCCTGTCACCAGTACACGAACCAATGGGTAATCCCTACGGTCTCCCCAACATTCTATCCCCCACACTCCCCTCCAACATACAGGCCGAGCTAGATAGAATAGAGGTGCAACGGAAGCGCGCAGACTCCGACGCATCTGTATCATCGTCAGATCGCAAGAGTCAGACGCTGGCCGTGCCGCCTAGTGGATCTCAACAGTCCAATGGCACGCCAAAGTCTGAGAACCGAGTGCGCTCAGCCTCTATCAACGGCAAATCGCCCAACCCCGAACCAGTCAGTCAAGCCGAACCAACAGACCCTAGTATGCTCGTGAAACTGAAATTCTCAAAGACCAAGGCTCCAGTCGTTGGCCAAATCCTCCGCCTGCCATCCAAACGAGCTAACGCCGAGAAGAAGGAGCGCCACGATGCGCCCAAGGCTACTGCGATAGATACACAGCCCAAAGTCACAGACCCGCCTGTCATTAAGAAGAAGCCTGTTCCAAAAGTTGCTGCGCGTCGCGGAGAGACTACCACGCCGGCGGTGCCCACGCCGAATGCAGGTGCAAAACCAACTCCTGCGAGTACAAAGGTTGCGGAGAAGCGGCCACGGCCGGATGAGGATGCGACTTTGACGGTACCACCCACTAAGCGTCCCAGGGCAGGCTCAGGGCCCATTACCCCTCTCCAAAATATCTCCTCTCCAGCCTTATCCACCAAGTTGAGTGCACAGAAGAGTCAGAATCAGTACGCCACCCCTAAGAAGGACATCAAATCAGTCAACATGTTACGAAGTCAGTCATCCGAAAGCAACACTAATGACGCAACCCCCGGCCGGTCTGGCGCAACTCCAGCGGGCGCAAAGACGGAGCACAAGGCTGGTCCTACATCTGCCCCTCTTAACAACAAGAAGCAGGCGGATATCTCACTCCTGGGACAGACGTCTGCGAGGCTGAATCAGATGGGAAGAGCCCTCAAGCATGAAGCAACTAAGATCCTCACAACAGGCGGTAGCAAAATCTCCAAGCAAGACGAGAAGAGAGCTGCGGTGACAAATCTCGAATGTATTCTGTACGTCCATGACCCTCATTTTTTTTGTCAACAAACTTTGCTGATTAGACAAGTGCATACATGGCCGCCTACTCCGCCCAAGACCTCTCGCTCAACCTCCGCGGTCGCGCGGGAGAAGTGGAGCAAACCTGGAAAACGCTCCTCCCCCTCTGTCTCTCCTACAGCCGCTGCACAAAAGACCACCAACACCTCGACGGCCTACGTTCCTACCTCAGTTCCATCATCGCCTCGGCAATCTGCACACACGTCTCGCAACGCTGCCAGAACGCCAAGTCAGCCGTATCCCACGACTCCCCCCAGGACGCCGCCAACAACGCAGACGTAACACGCCAGCACAACTCGCTCGCTGAGAACTTTGCGCTCCTGGCCGACCACACGATCAAGATGAACCGGCACTACCAGGACGCGAGGATTGCCCTGCCGATTGAAGACTTGCAAATCCTGTACAAGAAGACGTATGCAGCGAGAGAAGCCAACGCGCGCCTCGCACGCGAACCAGAAAAGATTAGCGGCGCGCGCATGTCTGGTCCGTACTTTTTGCCCCTTGCCACGGATACAACGCCTATCCAGGCTGTGCGCTTTGGCCTCAAGTTCCTGAGCGAGTACTGTGAGAAGGAAGGGTTGGAATATCGAATGAGGATTAATCTGGACAGGCCGGAGTAATGTTTGGTGTGTTTGTTATGCCCGCTTCATTACCATGTCCCATTACACACAGACACGCAGACACACACACATTCCCCATGTCGGTTTCTTGTTGACGGGCGTTTTGTTGATTCATTGAACTGTCTACTTAGCGGGTGGTTTTTCTCTCTCTCTCTCTCCATTGTTTGGAACAACTCTGATACCCCCCACGAGGTTTGGCTTGGCTGGGCTTGCTCTTCTTTTTTTTTTACTGTCTTCCTAAGCCAGTTACCTATTCCAAATTCGTTCTTGGTTCTTTCTTTGTTGGGGTTTCGTCATAGATAATGGGTTGGAGTGAAGTGAAGTTGGAGTTGGAGTTAGAGGAAGGGGAAAGGGCCCGAAAATGCCATGGAATGAACGAGCAAAACGAGAGACAAGAAATCCAAAAAAGTCATTTCAAGATAAATTTTGTAAACGGCCGTCATATTTGACATGTCAATTCGTCTTCAAGTTCCGTGGCCTGTGTTGATGGGAAAAACCTCGTGCACTCGTTGATTCCCCCAAAAGAATTGTCCCCTTGTATAGAAGTGTACCAACGCCAATAAAAAAAAAGAACTCCTATACTTGCAACCCATTATAACCAGATTATGACAAGAATACCCTCTCCAATCTCTCAAGCAACAAATCGGCATGCTGTTTCTGGAAAATCAACATGGGCCTCAACCGGACCGCCCTCTCTCCACTGCCACCAATATTGACACCCTCGCCCTTGGCCTTCTTCAGCACCTCATCCCGGCGCACATTATCAAACGCAATAAAAGTGCCCTGGCCCTTTCCTCTCAGATTCTGAATCTCCTGGGGGAACCTCTCACTCAGCCTCTGGAGACCGTCGAAGAGGTAGTCACCAACGGCAGCAGTACTATTGACCAGATCCATGCGCTTGATTTCCTGAATGATGGAACGGAAGAGGATCGCGCGCGCAGGATCGCCCATCCAAGTGTTGAACTGACGGTACGGCTTGTTAGGTCGGAGATCGTTGTTGCCAAAGTAATAACCAGCCGTCTGCGCCTTCTTGGAAAAGGTAACCATGTCCGGTGGTGTGCTCAAGCCCCAGTGTTCGTGGGCCCAGAATTTCCCAGTTGCGCCGACACCGGTTTGCACTTCGTCGACGATGAGGAGGACGTTGTGTTTCTTGGTGATTTCGCGTAGGCCGCGGAAGAAGTTTGGTGTGGCGTGGTTGTCGCCGCCTTCGGATTGGATGGGTTCGATGACTACGGCGGCGGGTGGGTTGTGGAAGGTGGTGATGATGTGTTCTGTTGCGTCCAGACATCTCTGCTCTTCTGCTGCGTTTTCTGCCTCGTGTTCATGGAGGGGGTACTTGAGGACCGGGAAGGGGGCTTGTGGCCAGTCAAAGGCGGGGATGTCGAGCTTGTGGATGGGTTTAGAGCGTGTGGTCGATAGGCTGCCGAACAGACGGCCGTGGAAGCCTGTCTTGAAGGATAGAATGGACATGTCGGGGGCGCCTGGGGCTTTGTTGTTCATGGACGAGTCGATATCTTCTTGGGAGAAATCGGCCGAGGCGCCACCGCGTTGTTGTTGACGCCTCCACATGAAGGCGGCTTTGTAGGCGAGTTCGTTTGCGTCGGAGCCGGCTTGGGCGGTGAAGACTTGGTTGAGGCCCTTGGGGGCTACGGAGAGGATACCGCTCTCGAGAATGTCGGCCCAGTCGTGCTGGGGGAAGTTTCCAAGCGCGGGGCGATTGATGATGGCAGAGGCCATTTCGGGGGATGTGGCTGCCAGGAGGAGAGAGGGGTTGTTGTAGCCTACGGGGATGGAGGCAATCTGGGCGTATACATCGAGAAGGACGTTACCGTCGAGGTCTGCGATGCTGATTCGTGTCAGTCTCGGTTCACTTCTGGTAGCATGCCAAACATACTAGTTGCCATAGCTTTGGGAGTAGTCGGCCATCATGTTCAAGCTCCTGGTGTCGAAGACCTTGCTCAGTCTCTCAATGGCCTTTTTACTCTCTGGGCCGGGGATTGCCGTCTTGACAATTGGCTGTCGGGGCTCATCTGGGAAGAAGGAATGCTCTCCGCTGTCTGCAACGGCTGCTGCTGCCGAAGCATATCGTCTCCGTGGCGCAATTGGTGCCTTTGGGGCTAGACGAGCATTTGCACCAAGAACTGGAGCTCGAAGACGTCCAGCATTGCGGATGAGCGACGCCATCGTGGTCGTTGCCGGTGTTGTTGTTGTTGTTGTTGTTGTTGGAGGAGGAGGAAAGATGGCGCAGAGTGTAATGATGCTGCGGGGAGCTCGAAGCTCGAATGCGGGGAGACGCGACGCGTAACAGTAGCTTCTCTGCCACAACAAACAGTCAGAACGGCCGAAGTAAAAGGATACAGTTGAGAAGAGCGGTATTGCATCTTATACTATTCCAGAGCCTTTTATCTACTACCCTCGATACAGCTGATAGAGCTCCATTACCAACCGGCCCTAACCCGTTGCTATCCCCGCAAAAGCTCGTCCAAGCGAGCTCTCCAACGCTTGACCCACATCAGACCCTTGTCTAAACCTACTCCAGTCGGTAGAAATTGGCAATGTGATCCGCTACACGCCGCACACGCCATGCACGCCAGCGACATACCCAACATCCAGACATCAGACCGGGGGTTTGTTTCCGGAGCTGTTGCCTTGCTCCTGTCGCTGTCGCTCCTTGGATGCATCCGTCGAAGCGGGTTTGTAAAGATCATCAGTGTCATACTCTGGAAGCGCTTCGACCTTGCAGCCGAGCAGGGCTCTGCTTATGATAGTCGCGTCCCTCTTGCCCTGCTCCTCCGAGATATGATATTCTCCTAGCTTCTGCGCCCAGGTGACACCTTTGATCTTTCCTCCGGTATTGCCATCACCCTCATTCGCCTCCAAATGAAGTATATACACTTTCTGGCCTGTCCAGCTTCGAGCAAAGTGGACGAGCATGTCCTCGCCATGGCTCCCCTCTTCGCTCCAGACGTTCCATCTTTCCTCCATACTTTGAGATTCGACACCGGCTATGAGCTTCGCAAAGTCGGCCTCGCTGATGCTCACGTCCCAGGATGCTGTACCGGGCTCGGTCATGGTGGAGCGATCTTTCCATGCCTGATAACGCTGTGCCATATCGCTTGGTCGTATCCTGGAGCCGTTATGTACCGTTAGAGGTTGTGGAAAGGTAGATTTCTGCTTCAAAGATGAGATTGGCGATGGAATACGTTTCCAGTGCGTGCTTTTGTTATTCGCAGCAAGGCAGCCAACATTAGGCAACAACCAGCTAGGCATGTATGCGCATGTCGAAACTGGATGCCTGTCGATCCTTGGCGATACTGTAGTTGGTAGCCTTAAGAATCAGCCGCAGATCGCTGTGCCCATCAAAGGCGAGTGAGGCGCAGTCGTGTCGGTTTTAGACCTCATGGTACCGCGATCGGTCCCAGTGTCATACAAACCTGTACAATGTTGCTGTCGCGCTATACAATTGCTAAGTCTACGGTCGCACGATCCCTGCAAAATCCTGGCCTCAGCACCATACACGATTTCCCTAGGCTCTGTGCCACGATTGAGGAATACTGTTGCAGACCGCAAACGTCCTTGATATATAGGTATCATTCTGGAGCCGTGATAGGATTTGCGCCCTTTCCCCAGCAACACCGCCACTATGTTTCGCCTTCGATAGATTGTAAGATACCTGCAGTCTTTGTCGACGCATTGAAAAACGCTGGGATCTGGGAGCAGGACTGGGGATTCGTCGTATATCGGGCGAATTTCTCAGACGGCGGTGCCTGGGACAGATTCAAAGAGACGTTCTCGAGTGAAAATCACCAGAGCTTCGACCGCTTGGAAGCTTCCTATTCGAATCCAGATGATGTTCGGGTTTCTCAAAGGTTTTGGCGTTGCAGGTTCGTTGACGAACCAGGATTGGAAGGCAAGGATCCTGCAGCCATAAGAGAGTGAGTCGCACAAAACACACGTTTTTTTTTTCCTGCCAGCCTGATCTCGATAGACACTATTCTGCGTTGTGGAGGGATTTGCCATCAGGCCTGCAACACCCCCTTTGCCTCGTTGCCACGAAAAAGGTCTTTGAATCGTTTGAGCGACACACAGCTTCATATCCTGACGCTACTAGTGCGACAATCGCTCGAGCCGATCCGTTCATCAACGTCCTTTATCAGTCGCATCTGGTAGATGACGATATGGATGACGATGAGGACCTACCCGTCAAGGTTTTCAACGCAGGTATGCGAGCGTTGATTGATGAGCTGTTTCCTATTTCGATACGAACAGAGATGAGTTTCGATAAGGTGGACCCTGGTAACGAGGACAAGGTTTGGTTGGGCGTTGCATGGGAGGAGGATATCATTCGGGGCGATAGCTGATCACGAATACATGTAACAATAAGCAAGGGGTGTTGACGGTGGAAATTTGCAGATGCGATGATGGAAGAGAGGTTCGTTCGGAGAAGTAGTGTTCAGATGGAGAGATATCTGGTCTTGACAGAATGGGGATTCTTTGATATTGACCCATACCTAGTGTTGGAAGATGTGGACATGAGCTTTACACAAACAAATCTTTCAGTCTAACCAAATATTCTCCAGGTTCTGGTCGTTTGTCAAGGATTTGAAGGCTTGCTCGTCTATATCGCGAAACTGTAACGCTCCGATCCGCCGATATACGCTTGCAATATTCCCTTTCATCTTCATAATTCTCTCTGACTGCTGGGACATGAGCTTTGAGAAAGCATCTAGGCGCCATTCTTGTTCTCGAGATGGCTTTAAGCCTGATAGTGCGCTTTTGTATTCATGGTGCAGTTGTTCCTGATTGGCGAACCAGGCAGAGTGCGTGATGAGGAGAAGACCTATACCTGAGTACGTCTGACATGCTTCGGAAGAAGAAGAAGGTAGGCCTAATTGGAGGCCACTGGGGTTGGTTGAAGTGACCGATGCGGCGAGGATGATGAATGCGCATTGTTGTGGGTCGATGACTGTAGTTGCTAGTGGAGTATCGAGAAAGGCATCTATTTCAATGGGGCCGCCGGGTGTTCTGTGTAAAACTTGGAGACGGTATTCGTCTTCTTCCATGCTTATCAGCCGTCCAAAGCTGACGTGACTCCTCAGTGCCAACGTTTTACTCTCTAATACAGGCTCCTTGTCACCTTCCCTGGTTTCTTCTTTGACTGTGAATTCGACAATAGCCCCATCATGGTCTCTAACCTTGTATGATCGTATGGCCAGCCGGTGCTGAGGCACAACAGGACCTTTTACACTTGCCCATGACCAGCTAGGAATGTTGGCATCGAGCTCTGGCATTCTCTCACATTTTCGAGTTTCTTGCACTTTCCACGCCATTTGCTCCTCGAGCCCTTTAGACCACATTCCCACGGCGTATTGCTCCTTCATGACGTCGCGCAGCAACTTCGCGATACTCCAGATTGCAATCGTCTTATCGCCTTGATACGTCAGATCACATTGCGTATAGTTTTGTACCGCAGACACCCAGAAGGTGTAGGAACTTTCGTGGTCATTAACACCAGTTAAGGCGTTGGTCGAGACAGTACTTCTGGCTAGCCGTCCTCTCCAGTGTCTATCAGTGCTTGCTTTATGATCGAGAGGAAAGGGAAGGCCTTTTGGAAACACCTCACAGGCTGAGAGCGTAGCACAATCCCAAAAGATCTGACGTTTTGTGAAGTGTATGATGCGAGGGGACAGAATGCGTTCTGTTGATTACTCAAGGTCAGCTCAGTAGAGCAATGTAGTCTGGCGGCGGGCGCGATATCAGGGACCTATGGATTCTGCTTACCTTGAAAGACCCACGCACGGTAATATATGCGGGAGTTTAGGAGTTCTGCTTCCCACAGATCCGCTGGAATAATTGTCCAAGTCTTCCCACCCAAATGATGAGACACGTTAGTACTATGATATTGTACCGGGAGGATTTCGTGAGCCTTACGGCCCCTGAAGAGGCCACCATGGGCATCCTTCGAGTCCGCTGCGACAATGTTACAATGTGAGTATCGATACACCTTGTGCATGAGATCGGCTTCTCTCGCAAAGTCACCTAGAGGTTCCTGCACAATAGCGAGACTGTCGATCCAGATGTACCGCACCTTTAAGAAGCGGGTCACCTGTATTGCTTGTTGGAAGTTAAGTGGAAGCTCGTCTAGGGAAATGCCGGTGATCAGATGCTTTGCCATGTTCCACACATTGGTAGTGAGGAACGGCTTCTCTCGAGGTCCCCACGCGTGGCTCAATGTGCAGTAAGGTCCCTTGACCTTTGTTATCTTGGTATCCACTAAGCGGATAGTACTGTCATCTCCAGTATCAACATCCAGAAGTCGTGTCGGTAGGAATAAGGGAGGGGATCGCTGGGCGTGCCAGGCTTTACTGCAGCCTTGATGATCGCGTATACAAATGTCCATCCATCTGTTGACTTGGGTCCCGCCACTAAGGTCTAGATTTGTTGTTTTCGGTAGTTCCTCAGAAGCACGCACATGCAGATCAGTTTCTGGTAAGAATCGAAAAGACTTAGTTGTGAGCGTCGGATGAGAAGACCAAAATCGTAACATCATCGATCCTCTTAACTCTCTACCGCGTGGTAGTGCTCGAAGGGTCCAATGATACAACGGCCAATTTTCAGCATTGAGCAAGGAGTCTCTCACGCTACCGTAGAGCGAGGTACAAAACGTACAATGGTTCAGAGCAGAACTCGCACCATTCATTGAAAGACGATGTTGACCAGAGGATGCAGCGGACTCTACTATATTGCTGATGCAAAAGTCGCACACTCGTGTTAGCGACTGAGTTGAAGCCGTGCCTGTTTGAACGATCTTTCTTTCAGACTCCTGGGCCGAAAAGATATCCTGAGTTATTTCCGGTACATACTCGGCACTGCTAAGACTAGGTGGTGATTGGACCAGTCTCTCGTCCTTACTAAGGAACATCGCGCGATCAGATGTATTATCGAGTTGCCGGATGCCAAGGCCATGTTCGAGGCTCATCAACGGGGTTGAAGGAGGCCTTTCGCTTGCTAACGTGTCGAATGTGCTCCCCAAGAGATCGGGTGTTTCGATTGGTGAGGAAATATCCTGAAACTGCTGGGATGTGACGGTACTAAGCCTTCCTTCCACGCTACAATTGACTTGGCTCCTCGCCCATTCTAATGAATCATTGTACTTCTCCTTCACATACAGAGGGAACGTAGGTTTGCAACAAATACCCACTCTTCGGTCTTTGGTGTGTGCATTTGCAAGCCAACCATTCGCTGCAGTAAAGACGTCTTCAACAGACCTGGGGTAATCTAAGTTCGAACAAGTGCTCTGAGCAAGGCGTATACACTGTTCAAGTTCGTCCAGAAGAATCCCGTATTGATGATCTGCAGCGGCAGCAATTGCAAACAATGGTGGTAGGCGCTCAGGCTTCGGTTTGCGTTCTATGAAGCTCATCTCGTTGTCGAAATAAGCGATAACATCTCTAGGCAGCCTGTCGTCCACTCGATCCACGCTGAAAGTAGAGATTTCGTCTCGGGTGAAGACGTCTTCCAGGTATAACAATGCAAGTGTTATATTACCATCAACTTTCGACTTGATATATGCGATGATACGATCCGTTTCCTCTGGTTGAATATTGGGATAGTGCATCCTCAGTCTTTTGTCGAGTAGGCGCTCGATGTGGAAGTGACCCAACTTGATACTAACATGCTGATAGATTTCCCTGAGGTCGTTTGCTGGGCACATGTGAAATCCTTCTAGCTGTTCTTTCTTTTCACAGTCGTAACATAGATCGAACATATCGCAACTCCGACATGCCCACCAGAGTTCCAAGTACTCCTTCCCGCATCCGTCGCACTGTTTCTTGGGAGATATAGAGAAGATCGGAACTCTGCGAGTGATCATAACCTTAAGACCACTGGACTCCAAAGCGGACAAGTGGGCATCAACAGCTGACTGCAATGCTTCGTTGATGCGATCGTATCCGTCTAGTATAAGAAACTTGCAAGCACCAGGGGCGACACTACTCAAAGCTCTAATCAGTATCCCGATTCGCTCAGTTCGTGGATGGCCGGAGTAACATTCAAGCTGGTATGCTTCGTAATCTGCATGGTGTTCAACGCCAAATTGGGAGTATATGAGTTGAAAAAGATCCTCCACAAAATCCAACGATGTAGATCCCACATGTTGAGTAATAGAGACCGATGCTGTAGCCGTTTTGATTCCATTCATGCTAGATGGTAAATGACTGGCAGCAAAAGCAGCCATAGTCGTCTGTCATGGTAAGCATGCGCTCCAGTAAATCACAAGGACTTTACCTTGCCACACCCAGGTTCTCCATAGCAGTGTAGTTGCCAGGATCTACTACCTGAAGACCACGAACAGAAAGCAGGACACGCAAAGAATTTCTCGAATAGGGTGGCATCATATTCGCTGCCATGTGGTGTGTTTAGGCTCAAGGCTGGGTGCGGTACGTGAGTTTGCAGCCCGAAAGAATCTGGAACGACTCCAGCCTCAGCGTCCGACATTCTCGCAGGCGCCACAAGATTGCGGAAATCTTTGCGAGGAAGCTGTCACCCATTCGTTACTGTTCTTTGGAAGTCGCAGATATTGCTTTTCAGAATCAAACGGTTGAGGTGTTTCAGCAGGTCAGCTCCATTCCCTCAACGTCCGTGCATGTGGCTTATGTCAGGCAGGCGGTCAATTAACCCGGCGCGTAATAGTCGAATGAAAATCTCCCAACAAGCTGTGTGCCAGCCTGCAGGAACGCCAATGTAACGCTGCAATGGCCAGCCGCATGCAGCACTTTTATCTCTGATTCGATATAACCTGGGAAAGATTTGCCTGATTCCCAATCCGCAGTTTTTACTTTTCTGCCCTCTTTTGCCTTCTTTTGCCTTCTCAGATCTTGAATGTTTCCATTTGTGATTGGAAGAAGACTTCATCGCACGAGATGCGCCCCTCAGCTGCGTTCAGTATTAGTTCGATGGATGCTAATCTGGGCTATGTTTGTGTATCGGACTTCACGGAGGACTAGGGGCTCCTGTCACCCAGCGTCTATCTACTATTTGGACATTCAGCTAACAAGAGGGTTACGCAAAGTCGTACGCAGTCTCTCAACGATCTCAATTGCATCGAACAAGGGAGTTGTATTTCTACAAAATCTGCTGAGACGTCGTCGCGAGTGAACTGGCCAAAAGGACATGCGAGAACCAAGTGCGGCTGACGTGTAAGACGACTGCGCCAGGTCCTGTGTTCCATACACGCAGCCACACATCGACTGGCCGCCTTCCAGCGCGACCCCAGTCAAGACCTAGAATGTGTTAAGATCTGTTTTACCCCTGCAGCGGTCTATTCTCTGTGCATGTGGCGATCGATCGTTTCTGGGCTTGGCGGGAGCAAGTGTTCATTCATTCGTTATCAAACGTCGGCGGCCTACCGTTCATGCACTATTCTAATTTCCGGGAGTTCTTGTGGAGGCCAAGCAACCGCACACCATAGATGTACATCGCCATCGGTATGGTCCGTGAAGGGTCACACAAGATGCGACACATCAGACTTAAGAAGCTGAACAAGTTCACCTCATTTACCATCAACACCACCTGCTTCGGTTACTAATTCATTATCACTCGCCATGTCTTTCGTTAAGTTCCTGGCTATATCGTGCCTGTTGATATGTGGATGGGCAAATCCTCTGAAGGGACCTTTCGCCTCGCGACAAGTCGACCCTCCTACTGCCTCTACTGTTTGTGGAGACATCATCGTCGCTGTAAATAACGGTAAGTGCCATAGTATACAACTGAGGAGGACACCTCGACTGATCACTAGAATAGGATATACACTATTCCGTGCATCGTTGGTGTATGAGTGCTTGCAAAGTGTCCCTTTGAACCCAGCTGTCGCAATGCGCTTTATCGACTATTACAACATGACCTTACAGTTCCAATCCACATTGGGTTATGTCAAAGCGCCACCCACCGGCTACCAACGGGCACCGTTCGACATCGAAGAAGCTCTACAGGAGATTAAGCAGAACGTGACTAAGGCTGGCTACAGAAATCAATACGAGTTCGAAGCACAAATTCAGCTCCTGGTAAACCAGATACGCGACACGCACGTTGTTCTCAATTCCGGGATCTTGTCGGCTTTCTCGTTTGTTGGCTCATATGGGCTTGCAAGTGCGTCTATTGACGGCAAGCAAGCGCCGGACATCTACCTTGATGAAGACTTGCGCAAAGCTTGGGAGACTGGAGAGCACAAAGCGTCGCCTGTGACCCACATCAACGGGGTTGACGTGATCGAATATCTGGAAACTTTCGCCGAACAGAACTCTGAAGGCTTCTTAGAACCACATGCTGATTGGAACGCGATAATGAACAATCCTGCACTCGACATCCAGGGTATTCCCAGTACATTCCAATCGGCAAATCTCTACCCTGGGGATGGAATCTTCTCCGACGCCCTCAACTTTACACTTCAAAATGACACTGTTGTCAAGACCGTCTGGTGGGCGATTTGCGTCGATTGTGAGGACACTGGACCCCTCACCACCGGCGGCGATTTCTACAATTATTTTGTTCTCGGAAATTTACCAGAGAGCTATGTTGAAGGCGGACAGTGGTGGCCTACTATGAAAGACGAGAGTCAGCCACCATCCAACGACAGCGATAGTAGTTTCAACTTTACAGCGGTACTGGAAGCCTATTGTACCGAAGGGGCGTCATCCAACCAGAACTGGTGCATGGACAGCCATGGAGCATATCCGAACAACCCTATGACTACCCAAGCCGATCTTTCTATCGTAGGAGGAGGCATCGTATCTAGCTACATGTTAGACGACAATTCCACCGCCGTCCTTAGCATACCCTCATTCTTTCAGGACGGTCAGGACATTTCCAGTTTTCGGCAAGCGGTCCATGACTTCGTTGGCAACGCGTCACAGAGGCAGGCTTCCCGCGTCATTATTGATCTCCAGCAAAATTCTGGGGGCCTTGTCCTCCTCGCCTACGATACTTTCAAACAATTCTTTCCGAGTTTCGAGCCGAACGGGGCAAGCCGCCAACGCAGTCACGAATTGAGCAATATTCTCGGTGAAGCTTATACGGAGTGGTGGAATCGGTCAGGTCACAATCAACCTGAGAACTCCCACTTGGCAGCGAACGAGTGGATCGTCACTAACCGAATCAACGCCGCTACTGGAGAAGACTTTGCGTCTTGGAGCGAGTTTTACGGCCCAGAGGCTAGCAATGGCGATAGGTTCTCAGGAAGTCAACGATACAACTTGTCTGACCAAAGTTTCGACTATGCCGCATTCGGCAACTATCCATACGGGTACAATCCGGACGAGCCCATTACCGACACCCTACCGCCTTGGGCTCCTGAAGATATTGTCATTCTTACTGATGGTCTTTGCGCCTCTGCATGCGCTATTTTTGTTGAATTCATGACCTACCAAGCTGGAGTTAAGACTATTGTCGTCGGCGGTCAGCCAAAACCCGGCCCTATGCAAGCAGTTAGTGGCAGTCGTGGCGCCGCCTCATACTCTTCCGATGCCCTAGACGAAGACTTTGAAGCAGGACTGAAGTACTTGTCTGTGGACAAGCCTGAAGTAGCTTTGCAACTGCCCGACCGAACAGATTCAGGAATAAGGATTGATTATGCCGGTTTCACCATCAGAAACCAAGTGCGTGGCACAGAGCTTACGCCCCTCCAGTTCCAATATCAAGCTGCCAATTGTCGAATCTACTATACGCTTGAAACGATTTACAACTCGACGAAGCTTTGGAGCTACACCGCCCGGGCAGCGTGGGACGACCCAACTCTTTGTGTACAAAATTCAACAGGGTATCCAACGGCCCGCAACGAGACGTCAGTCAAACTGCCCCCATCAGCCGCATCAGTCGCACCTGCAACCTATGACTTCTCGCCACTGCCGTTCGCTGAGAATATAACCTTCGAGCTTCTTGACTCCACCATGATCGAAAAAAGACGTGCTGGTCAGATCAGAGTCTGTACTCAGAATGACGCTTGCAGTTGTCATCCTTTGGTGTTGCAATGTCCCGGCGGACCGAAAACTGTCCAAGCTTGTCTTCCAAAATGCAAAGTCACCAGTCACAACCCAGGCGGAGATTGCCCAGGGACGGGTGATTTCTGCTCTACATCAGGGGTCAGCTCAATGAAAATCTATGAACAAAGTACGTATGGAGGCACTAACTACAGAGAATGGGATGGTTACTGTAAGACAACTCGTCTAGATCTGTGTCCGAGGTAAGGCGAACAGATAAGGCAAGGATGCGCACGTAATGGGTTAAAGAGTGGATGTGTGATGAGGCTTCATGCGGTTCTGGTGCAACACGATGGCATATATATGGTATCTCCTGTCACCTTGTTTACATATTCAATTCATTTCTTTGCTTGATGTAACTACGGCGTTCGTGTCTTGCCTATGTGAAGACACTGAACACGGCTCTATCTCTACTGCTGCGCTGGGCCGACAGAAGATCAGCACAAGGTTCATGGCCACCCGCTCTTGCTTGTTCTGACGCGAGCTGTGCTGGTTTTGCTTTTCTTCCACTCGCCACATACTCACCGCTGTACTTAGATGATATGTTCGAGTACCTGCTGAAGCATTGTATTCTATTCCTCACAACCAAGCAAGCAACCTCAAGCACTTCTCGACCGCCTCTGAACACCATGTGTTTCCGGAGCGCAAAGCACTGTATGTGCGTTCGTTCCCCCATACCCCAAGCTCGTCACACCCACTCTATCATCCTGCCCCAACTTGAGCTGACCGAGTAGCGGACGCAACCTCCTCTCGAAGTTGCACATCGGGTTCGGCGCATTCAACTCCGACATCGGCGGAATGAAGCCATTCGAGATAGCCAGCGCCATCTTGACCAAACTCAACATACCACTTGCCGCTTCTGTGTTGCCAAAAGCACCCTTGTTGCTGCCCACATGGACGACGCACCCATTAACCTCACCGGGCTGTTGCACCTGGTCAAGCGCTTGCTCCAATCCGCTCACCTCCAGCGCGTCTCCCATGCTCGTCCCACTTCCATGCAACTCAACGTACCTGAACGCCTCGGGGGCTATGCCTGCGCTCCTAATGGCTTTAGCTACTGTTCGCGCCTGGCCTGTGCTCGATGGCACGGTGAAGCCAACCTTGTCGACCGAGCCGTCAGACCCCGTCGCGCAACCCTCAATCACCGCATAGACGGCGTCGTTGTCACGGCGCGCTGCGCTCAGCGTCTTCACAACTACGGCAGCTACCGCATCAGCTGGCACTGATCCATCGGCAGCGGCGTCGAGCGGACGGCAATGACCCGTCGGACTGAACACTTGGCCTGGCGCTGTCACGTACCCACCCAACTGTGGAAAGGCGACGGTTACTCCACCGACAAGGGCAGCGGGACACTCGCCGGCGCGTAGAGCAGAAAGAGCGTGCTGCAGAGCGACCAAAGCACTTGAGCAAGCTGTGTTGAGCGTCGCATTAGGACCCGTCAGGTTGAGCTTGTAGGCTGTGAAAGTAGAGATTGGCGGATCAAGGAGCGTACGGTGACGCGCTTGAAAGCTGTCGGCGGGCAAGGGCGTGTTAGGCGCATCTTTATGTGTGTTGTGTGCTGAACCGATGAAGACGCCGGTCGGATTGGGTACGCCCTTGGCGATGGGGATTCTGGCATCTGCGAGCGCTTCGGACGCAATGGAGAGGAAGAGCAGTTTCTATAGTTTTTCTCTTAGCAAGGGTCTTCCGAATGGAATTAGCATCATACCTGCGGATCCGTAAGGCCAGCCTCCTCCGGAGTCATGTTCCATGCTCCAGCTGTGACTGGTGGAAGATCGGGCATAGAACCGTATCGAGGGACAAAGATCTCATCCTCCGCCATATCAGAGGGCGCGACAACTTCATCATGACTTTTGACAGCTGTTTTACCGTTGATGATCATCTGCCAGAAGCTATCCACATCAACAGCACCGGGGAAGTATCCAGCCAGACCTACAATGGCGAACTTGTTGTCATCAAGGTCCAGAGAGTTGCTGAGAGATGTAGCAGCTGTAGGAGCCTCTGAATCGCTGTCACTATCAGAACTAGAACCATAATTACTCTCGGAGAAAGGAGGTCTTTGTTCGGATACTTCCATCTTCCCAGCGAGACACGCAGCTTGTTTTTCGATGGTGGGTGCTTGGAAGATGTCCAGTAAGCTTATCTCACAGCCAGGAAAACGGCTTATGATACGCTTGTGAAGCTCGATCAAGGTGATGCTGTGTCCGCCAGCTTCGAAAAAGGATATATCGGAGCTGGGTGGACTTGTCAGACGAAGAGTCTGCGTCCAAAGATCCCTCAGAACTTTCGACACGCTCTTTCTATGGCTTGAAGATGCGCCTGACTCGATTGACTTCGAGTTCGTGCTTGATATCTTTTTTTGTGCAGGACTTGTCTTTGGAGATGACGCAAGCAGACTTTCTAATTGTTCAGAAACCTGCGCATGGTCTATCTTCCCATTACTATTCAATGGCAGAGATCGCACTGCAAGGAATCGAGCAGGGAGAGAGTAAGACGGCACCTCCAACGCCAATCTTCCACGAATGACATCGCATGGGGCCGTTTCTGGTACAACAAATGCTACCAACGAATCTGCATGCACCTGCACGGAGGCGACTTGCACCTCGGGACTATTGTCCAAAATGCTCTTCTCAATCTCGTACAAGTCCATGCGGTAGCCTCTTAGTTTGATCTCGCGGTTCTTCATGCGTCCGCCGATACATAATTTGCCATCTGCATCCAGAAATCCCCTATCGCCTGTCCGGTACATTCGCGTATTGTGACCGTCCAGCTGGATGGTGTGGAAGTGTTTCTGCGTAAGCTCGGTTTGGCCTATGTAGCCACGAGAGACTTGAGGGCCAGCGATGCAGATTTCTCCGTGCTCGCCAGTTGGGAGTTCGTCGTTGTTATCATCGGCGCAGATGAGAATTCGCGAGTTGGGGAACGGCTTTCCAATCTTGGATGGCGATGGGAGCGGAGCGTCGCTGCGCTGGTCTTCGCCAATGACTTCAACTGTCACGATAACACTACGTTTGTTAGCTTGTCCTCCTAAGCAATGTAAAAGGCCACAACATACGTTGTTTCCGTCGGGCCAAAAGCGTGCAGGAGCTGGCTTCGCTGCCTCCACTTTCCAAGCAGTCCCGCAGATGACGGCTCACCCCCAACGGATATCATCCTAAGCGAAGCCAAGTACCTGTCCGTCGGAATCGTGGCAAGCACTGAGGGTGTAGTGTGGAAGAAATTGACCTCGTTCTTGTCGATGACAGTCGCGAGATAGTCTCCTACAAGCAGCTCCGGATGATCGACAAAGCACAGAGTTGCGCCATACGATAGCGTAACTGCCCACTCCAAAACTGATGCGTCGAACGCGAATGTCGCGAACTGGAGCACTCGGCTGCCCGGGCCAATCTTCACGACACTGCTGGTGGCACTGACGTAGTGGCTCAGGTTCGATTGCTCGACCATAACGCCCTTTGGTTGCCCGGTTGAGCCTGACGTGAAGATGACTACGAATCATTAGTACCGCCGTGTGAGCTTGCCGAAGATGGGACTTACTGTAGGCAAGATCATTGTCTTTCGTGGTACTATCTAGGGTCGTCACCGGCTGCGTCTGTAGTTCTCGATCGACAACATCGAGGCTCACCACCGTGATGGTCAGGTCAGACAAAACCTGCTGAATTTTGAAGTCATCAGTCACCAGGAACCTCGCTTTGGAGGTGGTGGCAATGGCGGCTTTCCGTTTGTCGGGTAACTTTCTGTCCAACACGACGTAGTAAGCACCCGCTTCGAGGATTCCAAGTAGCCATACGACTGTGTTGAACCCTCGAGCAATGTGCAGCAGCACGCCTTCACCTGAAGATAAACCATTCGCCACGAGGTAATGGGCAACCTGACTGCTACGCTCCGCCAGCTCGCGGTATGTCATTGTCTCGTTACGCTCGGCCGAAGACAACGCGATGGTGTTGGGTTGCCCAGCGGCACGCTTCTTGATCCAAAGATGTACTCGCGAACTGCTTATAGTCTCAACATCCTCCACTGCCGGGCCGTTGGTGATGCTGGCGACTCCACGGTCCCGAAAGAACGGGAGGTCGCGAAGTCTGAACGAGTTGTCTTGTTGCGATAACTTCGCCGTGGTGATAAACTCCGCCTGCAGTTTCGCCATGGCTTCATCGCCAAAAATATCGGGATTCGCAATGACCTTTTGACATTAGCCACTGTTTAGAACACGTCGAGAAGAACTTACACCAAGTGAAACCCCATCATCATGCTCGAGGAAGCAGAAGAACAGGTCCCAAACGCCTTCCACAGGGTATATCGAACACGCCTTGCTAGCCAGCTTGGGTGAGAACGTCACTGCTACCTTGAAGTTGAGTTGCCGCTCGTCCATCTTCTTTCGCGCTTCCTCGATCAAGCTGAGGAACGGGTACATCTCGTGTTTCTTCGCGGTGGAGAGGTTCTTTCCAAACGCCTTGACAGCTTCCAAGAATGTGGCGTTGTTCTGCAATAAGCGTGCGAGCGGGACTTTGACTGGCATCTGTCTGCGTCAGCTTACGCGTTGATTGTTGTCTCTCCAGTACACACCGTATTCGCCATATGCGAAACGCAATTCTGGAATTCTTTAGGGCGAGCGCCGAACGCTACGAACAGCGCCCGATCGTGATGTGGGGCGGGTTCTGCATTCCCATCTGTAACCAAACTGACGACAGTAGATGCAACACGGAACCACGATGTCTTGTACAGTTCACTCCACCTCTGGAGCTGCTCGTTAGGGAAGAATGCCCATGTGTGCATGCGCCGGTAGTCAGCCGTGGTCTTGACTGGAGGTGCGACACGCCATGAGAAAGGCGAGGCGTGCATGACCTGCGACAGCCAGAATTCTTTGGCTGCTCGTCCGCTTACGCTGCGTAAGTATGCGTCCTGGGTTGTGTTAGTGGGCTAGATATCAAGCAGACGATACGATTTACTTGTCTTTGGACGTATTCTCCGTATGAAAGGCCTGACTGCTCAGCAGCAGGCTGTTGCGTTTGAACGTCCAGGAGTTGCAGTATCTCTTTAGATAAGATACTCAGACTGAAGCCATCCACGGCGATGTGGTGGCCGATAGCGAATAGTTTGCACTTGGTCTGTAGGTTCCCCGCTTCGAACATAACGCTATGGTGTATAACCCAGCGCACTGGGAACTCCGCCGAAAGGTTGAAGCCGCGAAGAAGAGAGGAGGAGAGCCTTGC